CGCTCCAAGAGAACCTATTCCCTCGTGGGAGGCGGCGAGCCTGACGTCTCGCCAAAAGGGCTGGGGGAAGAGACCCCCCCAAAAGAGGGCACTAAGGTCCAGAGGCCTAAGCCCCAGGGACTTGGAAACGGGTATATCCTTCGTATTTACCCCACTTACCATATATTTACCCTTTATTTTCAAACGAACTATGTTGTGAATAGGCATCTCCGGCGCCTGAGAGTGCAGTTACAACCCTCTGTGGAGCTTTCCCCAGCTATTAAAACCACCTTCCTGTTTAGGATACTTGCACAACTCAGCTTCCTTACCCTTTTCACTGCCTCCCCATCTAAGGTTAAGCAAGCTCTTAGTTGATTTGTACTGGGCCCTTGGGTTTTTTTTTTTTTTTTTTGGCAGAGGCCTTGATACTTGATAATAAAGTGGGTTTTATTATTAGTATTTTTTTGTTTTCCTTTACTGGCAATCATCACAGCATTTTGGAAAACTAAAAAATATAACAAAGAAATTAAAATCAGCAACTCTTAGCCCTCCATCTTGAGCAAACCATTATAAATATTTTAGTACATGAACAGTGTGTGTGTACATGGACTTAGAGGAAAAGGGAAATAAAAGAATAACAGTTGTTTAGTGTTTTGAATCTTGCTTTAAAAATTATTTTACCTTGTATTCAAATTATTTATAACCATATGACCTGGCAATTCCACTCCTAGGGATCTACCCAAAGGGCACAAAAACATTGATTCAAAAGACCACCTGTACCCCTGTGTTTATTGCAGCACTATTTACAATAGGTAAAACCTGGAAACAACCCAAATGCCCAAAAATAGATGACTGCATCAAGAAGATGTGGTACATATACAAAATAGAATATTATTCAGCAATCAAAAAAGATAAACTCATGCCATTCACAGCAACGTGGATGGAGCTAGAAGGAATTATGCTCAGTGAAATAAGCCAGAAGGAAAAAGAAAAACATCGGATGGTTTCACTTATAGCAGGGATATAGGGGAACCAAATAAGACATCAGTGTAAAAAAAAATAATAACAATACAAAAGGCAACAAAGCAAAAACAGACAATTATAAATCAGAGACATCCTGCAGGGGAGGCTGAGGGAGAGGGATCAGAGGGAGGGAGGGAGGAGCACAGGGGACTGAGGTGATGGTGCAGGGGTGCATTGGTGAAGGAAATTCTGTGGGAACTACACCTGAGGGGGTGGGGGAAGCAAATATTTTTTAAAAACGAACAATGGTGTAAAAACTATTTTTTTAAAGAAAAAGAAGAAAAAAATTATTTAAAAACATGAGTACCCACAATTTTCCAGAGTCTGGAATACTCCAGATCATAATGCCATAGTATAATTGTATGGTCATTTAAAAATACCCTATTGCTAGAATTCTGGCAAATTTCAATTTTGTGCTACTATTTATGTGAATTTATCTTTGACACACTTTTTCTTTCCTTAAGATGATGTCTACATATGGGATAACTGAATAAAAGTGTACAGATATTTTAGAGGTTCTTGATACACACTGAAAATGTCCTTGCCAGTGAGGTGATTAAAAGAGTGCATTAGGGTCTCCCTGGTGGCACAAGGGGTTTAAACACAACCTATGAAGCTGTCCACAGCCACTGCAGCACCAGTTCGATCCCCAGGCAGGGAGCTATCCATATGGCACAGCAGACCTCTCCTGACTCACCTGCTGCTCCCCTCAGCAGTGTATTTCTGTCATTCCTCCTGTCCTGTTCCCCACTATGTCTCTGGTGAATCCTCTCACCCCGCCCCCACCTCTGGCCTGTACTCCAGTTCTTGTATGCATAAATAAATAAATTTTTTAAAAAAAGAAAGTGCATTAATCTTGTCAGCCAATAAACAGACACATTATTAATGATCAGGTATGTGAAAATCAGAATTTAGAGAATAACTTTTTTTGAAGCTATTTAATATTATAATTGTATATTTAGAAAATGAAAGAATGCCCACTGTCGATGTAATTGAAATCTTAGAAATAACAAAAACTTATAAAATTGGACTTTGCAACAGACTGAAGGGTTCTCTGGCTTAGGGTGTTTAGTGTGAAGGCAGCAAATGAAATTGTTATGGTTAGCAAAAGGTACTAAATGTTTTAACAGTGAAAATGTTGGGCGGACAAGGCTTCAGCTTTCTTTCATGAAAATATAGGATTATTTACTGATAGGATTATTTACCTGTTGCAAAAATGATTTAGCTTAATTCTACCATGGTGGTTACTTGTAATGAATTAATATGTAATCAGCAGACGTGCAAAATATGATGAACATTGACAGTAACTAGCTATGTCAATCGTCCCAAATTTAGAATGACAATGGACTTTTTAAAATTGAAGAGTACCCTCAAAAGTGCATGAATATTATAATTTGATTTCTGAAAGGGTTATTGTTCATTCAGAACATAATATAAGCTGGGGATCATGTACATGTTGAAAATAATAATTTATGCTAACTCGACAGTGCTTACCTTGAGAGGACACTCTGCTGGGATAGGACAACCACTCCCCAGAATTCCCAAACAAATAAGTATCTAATTTAATAAAAAATTAATATTTTATAAACCCACCAAGATAGAAGTAGCAAATCAACTAATGTAATTAATCAGGCACATGTGGATAAGAAACTACTAATGTGGAACTTTATTATATACATTTTCCAGTCATGTAAAATAAACTCATAATGAAAATATGTCATTTTATGTATTTGTTTTAGTATACATTTATTAAATATAATATACCAAATGCAATATAAATATTATCCATAATATATTAAAATAAAAATATATACTTCAATATATTTTATGTTACTTAAAATATGTTAATAACAACTTACATATTTGTTTTAATACTAAATAATTCATACCAATTATTTTTAACACCATGATGATCAGGGACTTATATGAGTCTTAAAATATTTACCGTCTGCTTAGGTTATTAAACTGATACAATCATAGATTTAATATATAATATGAAATATATACACATCATTTACAACTAATAATTCCAGGTATCTATATGTGTATAATTTCACCTGTGGGCGAATTGCATATATTTTCAAGACATATTCTATAGTATCTAAGTCATGTATTCTGCCTTTGGAAATTTTTTTCTTGAAAATTTGGCTTTTTGTATGGTCAACGCATTTTTAAATAACTTTGCATATCATTCCTGAAAACTGACTTATGTCTAGATAACAGGAAATAAATGGCTCCTGTAAATGAACCTACCATTTTTATATTTTAACATTTTATACAATAAATATACTATAAAATGAATATTTTCTCTAACTTAAGGTTTGAAACTGTTTGGGACAGTATCCTTATTTTTAGCAGAAGACAGAACACCAGTGATGAATCTGAGCAGATCACATCACATTATTATAATGTGCGCTTTTAAATAGAAAATCCGACATTGATGCCACAGATTTCTAGAAGCAACCGAATAATTTAAATAAAATCGCTTTATAGAGAGTACCATTAGCAACTATGATGTTAAAAATAATAGTGGCTAGATGTTTGCTGCTAAGAATAAAGCACTATTTAAAAAGCCAACATTTTGTGAAAGTTGTAAAATGAACTAAAATAAGTCCAGCAACAGTTCTTAACAAGCTTATACTGATTCTTACCTAAACTTTCATAATTATATGAAAATGTATTTGCTCTATATATTGTAGAGTTTTGCCAACAGAAAATGCACACCTAATTAAGGCATCCAATTAAGCACTGATAATTTTAATAGTTTAACATTTACATGTAAACTTTTTCTATTAACATTACAATAAAAATAATCCCCTCTGCCATCAATTTTACTTTTTAAAAAAATTATATTACTGGGGAAATGATGCCGCAGGGAATGTCTCAAAATGAAGCCTCTTTAAATTGTTTTTACCCACTTGGGTGGAAGGGGAAGCAAATATTGTTTAAAAATGAACAATGATGTAAAAAATAAATAATTTAAAAAATTGTTTTTACACTTGGTATCCGAGGTTTAATTCAGATCGTATATATTGTAACTTGTACACATATTTCAGTTATCCTGGTAATAAGAAATTACACCAACCTTGTAAAGATTGATCAGATGTTAGGCCAAATTACCTAGGATTCTGTTTTTTTAAGAGGTAGGCCTCAGTAAGGGAAAAACAACAACAATAACAACAAACTAATTCCCTCCCGAGCTGATTAAAAGAGGATCGGCTGGGACTGCTCAGATTCATCACTGGTGTTCTGTCTTCTGCTAAAAATAAGGATACTGTCCCAAACAGTTCCAAGGCCAGGCCCAGTGCACTACGAAAATCTGTCTATTGCTAAAGTGTTGTTACTTTAGCAGTTACTGATCCTCGCATCAATGACTATTTAGGGAAGACTTCAATCGCGTGGAGGCCTCACCCTTTTCGGGTGCTGCACTACTGGAAGGCGGGAAGATTGGGCGGGCAGGAAGGCTGGGGAGCAAAAAGGCGGCCTTCAGAAAAGTAGGACCGTTAGGAGCAAATTTCCTCCAGGGCCAAACAACAAAGTACATTTCTTGTATTTCTTTTTTTCTTTTGTCTCTTTCTCTCGAGAAAATACACCTTGTATATTTCTTCTCTCTCTCTCTCTCTCTCTCTCTCTCTCTCTCTCTCTCTCTCTCTCTCCCCCCCTCCCTCCGTGTGTGTGTGTGTGTGTGTGTGTTAACTGACTCCCACTTAGGAGATTCTAGGAAATTCAGAGGTGACTGGCTTCTAAGGTAGGTTTAGACACTCCCCCGGCCCCCCCTAGAGGTCCATGCGGTTTGGGCGTGCAAAGGGGAGACCTGTGCACTTCTCTAACTGTAACCCTATGGGGGGAGGGGGTAGAGGGAAAGCAGGCGCCTCCATCCCGGGTAACCACAGCCTGTTCACCTCGTCCGAAAGATGATTTATCTGTACATTAAATCACACCAATCGAAAACGTCCGAGGGCCGATCGCGCCGGGGGACTTTTCGAGGCCTTTCCTACCTGATCTTCTGGGATGCGGCTGCCGTGCTCTGAGCTGGTTCCTCACTAGCATCAGCACGAGGCCCACAGCGGCCCGCACACTCCGGGGTGCCCCCTCTCCAGAGGGCCGCGCGATCTGCACCACGAAAGTCCTCACTAGCACCGGGCAGCCCGCACGCCGAATCCGCACCGTCACCAAGAACCTGCGCACCATAATCCTGCTGCCGCCTCTGCCGCCGACCTTTGCGATTGCAGCGCTGCCTTTTTGGAGTCGGAGGTAGGCACCGTCGCGTCCGCCCCCTGGGCAAACGGAGACCACGCGCCGCCCCCAGCCCATCCCCGCCCCGCAGGCGCACAGCGCGCTCCGGGCGCGCGCCCGGGTCCCTCCCCTCTCCGCCGTCTGCGCAACCTCCGAGGATCTCTGAACCGTTCTGCGCCCGGCGATCGCGGGAAAGGCGGGCCGCGCGCACACCCCCAGCGCCCCAGGTTCCTCTGGGTCTCCACCCTGCCGGGTCTTTCCCGCCTTGTCAGCGCGCCCCCCCACCTTGCCACCCTGCGCGCGGGTGAGCCACGCGGTGCTGCCCCAGGGCCGGACGCAAACTGCATCTCCAAGCAGCCCGCCCTCTAGCAACATCCGTCACCTGACAGCACCAGGAACCGCCGCGTTCCCCGGCGTCGGTCCTGCTCGTGCCCCCGCACCCCTCCGTCCCTTCCTGTGTGCCGCCAGGCCTCCGCCGAGGGGCTTCTGTGTCTCCAAACCGAATCGTTGCAAAGAGAAACGGAAAGAAAAGCAAGGTCGTCTCGCTGCCTTCTGCCCCATTCAGCAGGCCGGTTGTCAGTTTTGAAAGAAATGGCGCTCCGGTCCGTTTCGAGGTTTGGAAAACGAGCAGAATTGAAGAAAACTGCTGCCTGGAGCCGACGCGACATCTGGACACTGCGCGGCGGGGGCGCCTCTGGAGCAGTTAGCGGGGCGCCGGACCAGGTAGGCGGAGCCGAACCCCCAAACCCGGGGTCCCTGCTGAGTCTAGGCGCCCCTGACCCTCTTCCCAGCTCTCCGCGTTGCCAAGGGCGCAACGGGCAGAGAATCCCGTCCGTTCAGCCGGGCTGTTTTTATTTTCGATTTAAAAGACGCAGCCGAACGCTTCCTCTTTCCTCCTCCCGCTGCGTTCCCCTCCCCCACCGCTGCTCCCCGCCGGTCCCGGACTCCCCGCTTTCGCTGGTTCTCAGGCCGGCGGCTGAGCAGCCGGCACCTCCTCCGGCCTAGCGCCAGGACACCCTCTCCTCGCGCTCCCGGACTTCTCAGCGCAGTGTGTGTCCCTACCCCTCCTCTCCTTCCTCTCCCCCCTCTTTTCTTGCACATCACTGATTCTTTTCTTTCTGGACACGCTCCCGTTTCCCCCCCAACCCCCCCCCCCCGCCCCGCTTTCCTGCGTGGTCCACTCAGAACAGGATAAGCCGGGGAAGGAAAGGAAGGCGCAGCGTGAAGGAGGGGGTGAGTCGAGGACACTGAGGAGGCCTGACAGCGCTCAGCTGCCCGGGGGCAGAGCGCGCCTGGAGGCTCCGGGTGCTTGGGCAGCGCTGGGCTCCGACGCGAGCTCGCGGGCGCTCTGAAGGCGGGAAGTCGAGCTCAGCGCACGCCACTTGCCGGCGGGCTGGGCTGCCCCGGGGCCCCGACCTCCCCGGCCTGCAGAAGGCTGGAATCCGTCGAGAATCTTTCGCGGGGCGCGCGCCCCGGAGCTGGCAGGGGCTGAACAGATGGCGTGGGGCTAGGCCCAGCCTTCAGAGCCCCAAAGGTGCCCTCCTGGCAGTGGCTTCTACGTTTGGCCTGGCCTCGTGGCCTAGCTGCAGAAGTGGCACCCTAGGCTGCCTGACGCATCAGACGCCAAGCGCCTCCCTGGCTGGGCAAGGAAATGGAGACTTTTGGGTTTTCTAAGTCCCGGTATTGGAACGCAACAGAAGGACGAGAGGCAGGGCTCTGCCACCTCTCTAACCGGCACCAGTCTCCACCCCCAAGTTGGGTGAAGTGAGACTTAGAGACCACTCTTAAGTAGCCACTCCAAATGTTTATCTCGATTCTCACAAATGCATTTCTGCTTTCTCCGGTGGTAAGATTCATTCGGTTTACTTGAGACCCAAGCTGAAGGTGCTTGCCACTCTTCTATTAGGATGAACCTTCTCCTTGCTCTTCACGAGGCTAGCTCCTTCTCCTCTGGTCTCTTCTAGTCTCTACCAGAGATACTTTCCCTTATCATCTTTTCCTCCCTCCCCGTGCAGCTCTTAGTTTACATAACTTATGTAATTGTTGTTTGTAGGATGTGAGTTAAGTGGCAGCTAGATCCTGCGATTGCCTTGCTCAATACTGGTGAGCACTCCCTCTGTTCCTCCCCCTCAAGAAAAACTTTATTAGGAGAGATGGGCTAGTAAAAACATACCGTTTTAATAAGGGCATTTCATAAGGGCATTTTATGGCCAACAGAGGAGGGACACTTTAGAGGGTGTGTAAATCGGAGAAAGGATCCTGGTGGAAAAAAATGCTACTTGATTCCAGCAAAATATCATTTAAAGGCCCTAGGAAGTGGAGAAATGAAGGGTTTCCTGGAAGAGAGAGGGTGATTAAAGGTGCCAGTAAATATATGGGTGGGCATCAGAAGACCCATATTGCACATCTCTTTTTTTAAATTTTTTTAATAGAGGCATGTTTATTTATTTGTTTGTTTGTTTATACATGCACTGGGTACAGTCAGAAGCGCGGGAGGGTGAGAGAATTCACCAGAGCCAGAGCGGGGAGCAGAGCAGGCAGAGGGACCGAAGTACACTGCTGAGGGGAGCAGAGGGGCGGCAGGAGAGGTCTGCGGGCCATGTGGGACCCTCTGGGAGGCCCTGCACATCTCTTGATATTATTAGAGTTCTCCAGAGAAAATAGAACCAGTAGTTAAGTTGTGTGTATGTATTATGTGTGTGTGTGTGTATACCCATGTGTGTGGGCTGGTAATTGAGAAATTTACAGGGCAGGTCCGCAGACTGGAAGTCCAGGGATGAGTTGATACTTCAGTTGATTTAGAAGGCAGTCTGGAACCAGAATTCCTTTTCCTTGAGAGCCTCAATATTTTCATTTGAGGCCTTCAACTGATTGGATGAGGGCCACCCAATTTATGGAGAATAATCTGCTTTACTCAGATTCTGTTTGATTTAATTATTAATATATTTTAAAAAATACCTTCACAGCAATATCAAGACAGGTGTTTGCCCCAAGAATTGCATATCATGGCCTCGCCAAGTTGGCACATATAATTAAAGAAAACATTTTTCTATTGTGACTGAGGAGTGTACCAGACCTCATTCAGGGGACATATATGTATTGATTTGGCCTGTATACTTTAACTTACAACCATTTCCTTACTATCCAAACTTTTTCTGGGCATAAGGGGAGTTGCCCACTTCAAAGGATTGCCACTTGAGTAAGACCATTGAATAACATGATTTTACAGTAAGTCTGTGTTCAGTGAATATAAAAAAAAAATAAAATACAAGCTTAAATCACATCTTGGTTTTCCCCTGCTGCCAAACACCTGCTTTTTGTTAGTTGTGGTATGCAGGGGAACTTTATCAATTTTAATATTAGAATAAGCAAAAGGCAATTATGAAAATAAGTCATTAGAAAAACAACTTTTTCCTTTTCTCTTTTTGCAAAATGAATGTGACTAACTCACAGCATTCCAAAGGCTTTTGGAATTCCAAGTGACTTTTGGCTTTATGTTTTTTTTTTTTAAATGTATCATCAAACACTAGCAGCATTATGTGTTGGGACTTGCACTTGTATTATCTTATCTTCACAGTGGCCCTTTGAATTTGGGATAACTACCCTTATCTCGCAGGTGAAAAAACTGAGGCCTAGAGGGACTCGAATCCTGGACATGTGGCCAATAAAGGCTGGCGTCATCAAAAAGGTCTTAGACTATAGGCCTGTGTTCTTTCTGTTGTGCTAAGGTGGGAGTCAGTAGGCAGTGAGAGCTCAGTGGATCATTTGTGCAGAATTGTTCTCTTGGTTTAAAAACCTGACTGCAGATCTTTTGAAGTTTTGAATGGAGGAAAATAAATGTTTTGGATTGGCAAGTTCATTTCAGAGGACATTTTACTTAATATATCTTATCTTGTGCCACCTGCCCCCTGCTCCCCCATGGTATTGCAGGACACTAGCTTTTCCCCTCAGGTAATTCATGATTATGAAAATTTCCTAATACTGCACATTCTCTAGCTGAAAACCTCAAAAATATAAAACAAAAGACACCATAATCAAGATTTAGAAACTATTATTTGAGTAAATGACAAAAGATTAACTTCTAAAAGTATAAATAAATACATAAATGAGGAAAATGTAAGCCAGTATAAAAATGAGCATATAATATAATGGGAAGTTTATCAAATAAATAAAACAAAAACAATGACATATTTATAGGTGTGACAAAAAGGAGTGATAATGTTGGCAAAATTCTCAGGAAACAGTCATCCTTATATACTATTGTAATAGTAATGATACTGTGCAGTCACTTTGGAAGGCAACTTTACCATATTTATCAAAATTGTATGTGCATATAGGTATGCTTTGACCCAGCAATTCCATTCTTGTCAGTCATGTAGGTATGCAAAGATTAACATACATAAATATGTAGATGGAGATATATATGTATAGTACATGTGATCCATAAATAGAGAAGTATATGTTATATATGTATGCATATATTTATGTATATATAAACATATATACATATACATATATAGGTGCCCTTTGACTCAGTAATTCCACTTCTGTAAGTCATTTAAGTTTGGCAAGAATAATATATATTTGTGTCTATATGCACACAAACAGTAAACCTGAGTTTTAGAACCTTTCTGTGGGGGTTTCTGATATGGAGTCTCTATTAAGAACCATTTCTTTATGTTGGTCCCCATGATTGGTGGGTACACCATCACTAAACTGATATAATAAGTATCTGGGGGTAAATGGAACATGAAATACTAATTTTTCCCTAGAAAAGAGGTGACATTAAATTTATCAGCTTATGATGGCATTAAAACAGATCAAAAGTCTCCTGAGATACTTGAATAGTCCCATAGGAGATATATCAAAGACAGTCCAGAGATTAGAGAGTAGTAGATGGTGATAAACATTTTAGGCAGGGTTATAATATGTAACTCTAGCTGTCATGTTGAGAGGCAAGACAGAGGACTGTAAGGGGTATTGTGGTGCCCTAAGAAAGGTGGCAGAGCTTAACAACTCA